TTAGCCTTCTGTCAAAGGCATCGTAAATATTTCAAACGGCTTTAAAGAAGTCGCTGACTGTACGCCAGAGGCAAAAAAAGAAACTAAATTTGTCGAAATAGGAGAAAAAAAAATTGTTGAAGTTGTACAATAGTTTTCTGACACGATGTACACACAGCCCACTGGCAGTGACACGGCAACAAAAGGGTCATAAAACAAAACTGTAGAAAACCGGAACCGATTTGTACAATTTATGGTAGAATCCCACCCTAAACTGGCATTCCTCCGCTCTACATCCACCCAACAGAAACTATTATTTATAGTCCGGGAAAGACATGATTTTTCTGCCCTCAATGAAAACTTTACTATTTCCATAAAATAATATACAGTTCATACAGGTTTTTCAAACGTACTAAAAATGAACAGTCAACATTACATTATTTTATATACAGTCCAGTGAACAAAGGTCAATAGCTACATGTCAAATTAAGCAAAAAAAATTCTTATTGCTCGATATATTTCACTTTTCAGGTAGTAAATGTAAACCGTTCACGACTTTTCTCCATTAATTCCACCATATCTCATAACATGAAACATAAAAAATTGCCTAGGATTCATGCGTTTGTTTAATTGTAACCTTAAGGGAACAAAGAAAAAAATCAGAACAAACTTTTACTATTTTCTAAGGTTATTTTTTCGAAGTTTAAGTAAGATTTTCTTCGCCAGTAAAAAAAACGAAATAACAATATAATCATATGATCTAAAAATAATTATTGTAATAGAAACTAAAAAAGGAAATAAAATGCAGTAAAATTAGGAAATAATCAGGCTTGCATTCTTCAAGAAGGTGGACAATTTGAACATTTTTTGAACATTGGACATTTTTTCAATTTGTTGTAGCTTTTTTTTCTTATGGTCAATTTGATACTAAAGAGTCTTGGTGGAAGTTACTAATCCACCTAACCTGTCCCTAAATTTACTTACTAACCATTTTTAACCTAACCTATTCCAATTTTTCTTCAAAATTGAAGAAATTATTTTCGATCTTTCGAAATTTCATAACATCTATAGAAATAGCATTAAAATTCCGTAAGATTCGTCTGTTTGTTTTATTGTAACCTTAAGGGTAGAATGTAAATAAATCCCTTACGATTTTCCTAAATTTTTGTACAAAGTTTAAGTAAGGATTTTTTTGGATCTGTAAATACTGACACATATAGCGCTTAAAGAAATGTTGCCTCTACAAAAGATGTATGCAGTTAATTTTTCAAAGGTCAGTTAACACCCATTAAAAATTAACGATTAATTGGTAAAATAGTGTTTTGTCGGTTATACTCCGTTAAAAAAATATTCCTTAAGAATTTGAAACTTCTATTAAAAAATAATGGTACTAATACTAATAGTAAACAAAAATTAAAATGCAGTAAATTCAGAAAAAATTGTCAGGCTTGCATTCTTCAAGAAAGTGGACATTTTGAACATTTAATTTAATTTTTTGTATCTTTTTGTTTTTGCTTATGTTGTATTTTGTAATAAAGAGTCTCAATAAAAAATGTGGCCGAGGACAGTAACCCAACTGTACCTTTTACCTAGCGTTAATCTAACCCTAACTCAACCTTACATCACGTAACCTTACTTAACCCTAATCCAAATCATACCTAACTCAACCCCTAGCCTAACTTTATCCAGTCCCTAAATCTACCTACTTGTTACTAACCGTTCTTAACCTCACCCAGTTAATCTTCAAAATTGAAAACATTATTTTCGATCATTCGATTCTTGTTCTTGAAATTGATTAAAGTTCTTGTATAAAGTTGTATAAAGTAAGATTTTCTTGGTTCTGTTAATACTGATTGATTTATAGAAAAGTTGCCTGTGTACAACGCATGGTCTTAAATTTTCAAAGATCAATTATAAACAATGTAAAACTATGTTTAATTGCTAAAATTTTTATTTCTCTTTTACAAACTGGGAAAAAAATTCATTACGAATGTGAAATTGTAATTGAAAATTTTTGAAAGCTGTACAAAGTAAACAAAAAAGGTCCTTCGGTGCAGAATAGAACATTAAAAACACAAAGAGCTTCTAAAAATTCAAATTAAATGTTCCAATATTTCCACGCTCTTTGATAATGCAAGCCAAAGAAGGTGGGATAGTATAAACATATAATATAATACAATTAATTAAGGTTTTTAGTTGAGATAAAAATATATAATTGTAATATATTAATTGGTCAAGCTGACCACGAAATTAGTGAATATAATATAATCTGTTCAAAATCTTACTTTTTTTCGATCTGAGGTAGAATTCACTTCAAAAATAGAGTGAAAATTGTAAGAAAACATACGTTTTTTATTTTTTAAATCTGATAACCTTAGTTTGCACCACGATCAAGAAGCACTCAGATCTTCAAGTGGAAATAATTTCACTTGGATTATGATGTGCTTTTAAGAACCGAAAAAAAATTAACAGTATTGGCCCCCAATGAGAATCCTGGGGCATACTACAGTTAACATGGATGGAGCAGATTGGATTAGCTCTTCTCCAAATTTCACTATAAAAGATCTCCCCGAAAGAAAGGAATCCACCATCGACCGTTTTCAAAATTATTCTGCATATACTAGCCGTTATTAGAGGATAACATCCTTAAACGAAAGCTAAACGCAGGATAGTGTAGGGATAAAAGCGGTGGCCTCAGTACCATCCGGTCCATGAGCCTTTTTAGGCGGCAGTGCCTTGTCAGGAGTCCAACCAGAATCCTAATTCTGTTACGGTTACCTTCCAGTAATTGGTTTATAAGTCTTACAGATGGCCCTTCTATGAATCTTGGTGTGCCTCATGCCTGGGGTGTTGTTACACCAGGTTTTGGACTCATTAAGGGTCCATTTTTGGCAAGGTGCTAGGCCACAATAGGGTTCCGGCCTAGAAAGTACATATTGACTCCTCTTTTGGCCAACATACCCTTCTGCCCATTGCCCCTATGTACTGCCCAGGGACCCATGCCAGCGTCAGGTTATTGGTGTTACTGACTTATGCCAGGGTTTCCATACAATTCCATACGCAAGCAAACGCATCTGCTATTAATATTGTTGAAAAACTACGAAAACTGGGCGATATTGGATAGAGGCGTAACGTTTTACCGATCTTATCAATCGACATACGTCTCAGTTCGGCTTCAAAAATTCGTCTCCATTGTCCGCCTTTCTTTTTTTCCGGTTTGTTTCTTTCCACTAAGAGTGAAACCGGCTGGGTGAATAACCTTATATTCGTGGTCAACGCCAAGAGAGAGACAGGGACTGTATCTCTAGCGAACCGGTTGGGGTGAGCAACCGTTCCAAATCCCTCGTTCTCTTAATAATTCCACTTCAGCATCGGTCACGGATTCCGAAAGATTTCGAAACTAAGACGCACTCGCGAGTTTCGTTCGTTTCTCAACGGCCCAGAATACAATGCACGGCGTTGTGCGACAGCGAGACAAGTCGCAGGCTGCCGGAAATCGGCTCGATTTGACAACAAACAACGGTTTAAAAGCCGACTAGCTTTTTGTTTTTTCTTATGTTCAATTTTGTACTAAAGAGTATTGGTAAACAAAACTTGTCCGAAGTCAGTAACCAAATTGTACATAACCTAACCATAATTCTACCTAACATCACCTAAACTAACCTTAACCCTACACAACGTAATCTATGTATATATCGTAATCTATCTAAATATCGATTTTTCGGAATTTCATTACATTAACAGAAATAACATTAAAAATTCCATAAAATTCTTGTGTTTTTTCCAACCTTATGGGAATAAAGCGAAAATCAGTTAGAACAGAAATTTTTTCTATTTTCCAAAGTTCTTGTGCCAAAATTTAAGTAAGCTTTTCATAGCTCTGTAAAAAAATTAATTAATGATATAATATAAAATTAATGATGTAACAAAACGTAAACAAAACCTAAAATGCTGTAAATTCAGGAAACGATGTCAGGCTTGCATCCTTCAAGAAGGTGAGCCTTTGGAACATTTTTTAATTTTTTAAATTTTGTAATAAAGAGTCCTGATAAATAAATTTGGTCGAAGTCAGTAACGCAACCGTACATAACCTAACCTTAACTCTAACCTACACTACGATACGTAACCTTACATCACCTAACATAACCTTAAACGTAACCCGAACCATACTAGCATAACCCTACACAACGTAAACCCAAACCTTAACCTGTACTTAAATCTACCCAGTTACTAATCTTTCTTCATTTAACCTAACCCAATTAATCCTCACAATTGAAGACATTGTTTTCAATCTTTCGAAATCATTCATTACATCAATAGAAATAGAATTAAAAAATTCCATGTTTCGTGCGTTTGTTTCATTGTTACCTTAAGGGAACAAAGTGGAAAATAAGGTAGAACATAAAACTTTTACGATTTTCCAAAGTTCTTGCCTAAAGTTTAAGTAAGCTTTTCTTGGCTCAGTAAGTATTGACAGATAAGGAGGTCATGGAAAAGTTGCCTCTACTAATGGTTTGTAAAAACGTATACTTAGTTTTTCAAAGGTCGGTTAAAGTATTCACGTCTGTTCACGGGACACCCTGTATACAGAAAAACTTCACAGGCTCCGGATTAACATAGTTAGAACTAGTTCCTGTACCAAACAGTTAACTCTTCGTTTTGATTTCATTATTGTCTAGAAATAAAGTAAATTTAAAAACAAAAGACCCAACACAGAGTCTTGTAGCACGACCATTGACATTTCAGAGAAGATATAGTTAACAGTTACACACTGATAATTGGAGAGATAACTTATATCAATCAATCCAGTAGAAAATTTTTCTTTACAAGAAGTTCACGTCGGACATGGTCAAAAGTCTATCTCAGATCAAAAAATATATCAAAGATATCCCAATCAGGCAAATACTTTGTAATAGATACTTTACAACATACTTGTTCTGAGGTTTTAATCTTTATGGTATCTTTAGCCCTATAAAGTGTTAAGGCGTGTTGATGTACTAATGTTAATTTTTTTTTTCCAGATGGGTTCTTGAGGACTTCCCCGAGTTGAAACTGCCACTCGAGAACAACATCCTTACCAACTTCGACACTAAAAGGTAAACTTGTCCCATTCAACGAATGTATAGACAGTGGAAAAGGTCCGTCGTAAAACATCTCTTGACGTCTCGTCAACGTAGGCCGTAAAGCCCGTGGGCAGGCCACCCTAAATAAAATGTTTCCCTTTTGACCGACGACCACTCCCTGCCGAAACACGGCCAATTTTCAACGTTTTCTCTTTTCGAATTGTTTTATTGTTTAGGCCTCTATTTGTCAAAAGTGCTGCACTGAACTATTAAGTAATTGTCTGCTTTTGATTTGAATCTGTTGTCTGTTCTCAAGCGAGTCGATTGTCACGTAGGATATAGAGGAAAACAAACCCGATATTGTTGGCTCAGCCCTTTAGCTCGATCAACCGTTCAAAACATTTCGACCTAAATAAACTGCTTTGTCTTTTTTCCGGTTGTTTGTATAGTTTAGAGATGGGAAAACCTCTCTTTTCAAGGATCTGATCATACCTCGGTCAGTAAAGTGAGATGAACTCTTTTGATCACCTCGCGCCATCTCTAGTATAGTTGTTTTCCCCCTTCCGATTAGTGGGAAGAACAGGTCTGGAGAAGACGCGCGCGCGTCGGCCCATTGGCCATCTGCGATCGTTCTTCACATCTGTTTTAGTCCGGCCTAAGTACCTCCGGTCTGGTCTGCATTGTTTAGCGTCCTGCGTCCCAAATCCAGCAAGTTTTCAATCTTCCCTTGAATTCGTTCAATCGTTCTTGCGAAGGTTTAGTTAGGGTGCATGGTGATGCATTTTTCGACCGACCATAGGAAAAATAATTCATTATCAAGTAATTTCTCTCTAGCCATGGCCGTAGTTGTAACGTATGACAAATCGTCCGTTGAACGGAGACTCAGACTGAGGTATGACCCATTGGGTGACCTACTGAGGATGGGCCGAAATAAGGAAATAATTCTGCCATCTAATACTTTTTTTCATTCTGAACTGGCATTGGGTCCTGCTTCACTCGCGGGTTTGTTGAACTACTCAAACGTTTTTCGGCATTGCGCCATCTTCAGTAAGGAACTCCTTCGAGTAGTTCAACAAACCCGCGAGTGAAGTCGGATCCAATTAGTGACTCAATGCCGGTTCAGCATGAGTTCACGGACACCCAGCATCAACTTTTCCGTTTGTTCAACCGTCTAAATCAAATTTCTCAGTGCCACTCCGGAAAAAACTTAAACCACCGTACTATTGTTAGATTTCTTCCTATGGATTGGCTGATAAACCTGTAATATCTAAGGTTTTTACCTATCATTTTGTACCGCCTATGACAGAGATTACGCAGACACATTGAAGATGGCGAAATGGCGACGATATAGCCAGCGAGGATAGGTTTAAAAATCGGTAACGACCAAATTTCATCGTAATACCGCTTTTCCCACTCTACTTTCTTCTAAATGGAGTTTGGAAAATTGAGAAAATTTCCCCAGAGGCCATTTAAGAGTATTGTTTTTCCTATTGTACGTCGACAAAATGCTACTGTATTGATGAAACACTTATTTTTTCGACGTGTGGGACTTTGACGGTTTGACCCGGCTAAAGATAGACGAGTTGAACGTGAGAGTTTGTAAAACACGAACCCGAACTGGTTCTCCCGCAGAAGTTCCCATGGAAAAGACACGGACTGGCAATAGAGGAAACACAACGAGCGGAGGTTTAACTACTGACTGTATTGATATTTGTTCTGACCAGTTTTTGCGTGCGATAAAGTCCTTGGTGAGAGGCCGTGACTGCAATGAAAATCACCAAACTATTTTTAGACGAGTTACAAATCGGTGCAGCGGCCGATAGACAAGAACCTGCCAATGTAGCAAACGGATGTTTTTTGCTGATGCCTTACCATGCTTATTGTTATCTGCTCTTAGTTTATCTGTACAATCTCGAAATAAGGAGAAAGAGAGAGCGGAAAGATCTTTATAATCACTTTTACCCATGTTTTTCCGCCAAAGGCTGATAAAATAATGTGCTGATATGTTAAAAAGCTCTTTTATTTTATATTGTAGTGGAAATACCGAGTGCCATTAGTGTTACTCAAGGAAAAAACAAAATTACCAAACATAAATGAAGGCTGCTAAACCAAAACGTTAAATATCTCAAAACAATTGAATGAGGGTTGATATAATAATAAAGAAATAATTTTTTTGTAATTTTATATTATAACAAACGCGTCTCACAGACGAAACCAGCCTATTGACAATCCTAAATCTCAGGTGGAAGATTCTTCTTAGTAAGTCTTGGTTAGACAGCATTGTTTTGTTGTTCCTACTACTGCGCGTTTGTTATGGTTGCCAATTTTCGTTAGGGGAGGTTTAACCCAATAGATCATTGTTAATGATATATTAATCGTTCAAGGCTCGGCAAAATCATTTTCCAGTCAAGTTCCACGCTTCGCGCGCCGGTCAGGTCGGATTGCCGTGACTCGGCACCCTTCTGACCTGGTATCGACCCTCCCCCGGGTCTGGCCTCGTAGTCGTACGAAGACCCTCCCCCCTGGAAAATCGATACCGGCCGCCCACTCCGGCTCCCCATCCCCGGAAGACGCCGAATGATCACGCTTCGGATTTTAAAATAACCAACAAATACATCCTCACCAACTGAATTTCTACCGGATTTTTTCCTGTAATAGATCGTTGAATTATTTCCATGTTGATAGTATGTTGTGATAGTTTACAAGAGATACCATCGGTGGACCTTACGCTGGCGAATTATAAGCATATTCTCAATATTCTTGAGATTTATGTCGAATCCGGGATTTGTTAAAATTTTATTGTACTTGTTTCGTACGTATTTTGGCGAGTTGCAAATTCGAAAGGAATAGGCTCTCCAGAAGGCAGTTGAAACAAAACTATTGGGGATTGTGATTGTGTGGAGAATTATGTGAATTAACTTGGTTTTATGTTTCAGTTTCGACAGCATGAAGAGCCTCTGTGATCGTTTCAACAGGGCAATCGACAGCATGGTCGCTTTGGTAAGCGGAATTTTAACACTAAACTAGTTTATACCGTGAGGTGGAGGTTTTTCCAGCTTTAAGATGAGCAGATGTCTGCTTTCAAGACGCACCTGGATGCTGTGAGACGGCCCTCTTTTATTTCGATTAGACTGTTTATACCAGAGGTTTTTCCTTCGTCCCTTTGCATCCATTTTTCCCCCCAAAGGACGTTGAGCTGGAAAGGATGCGGAAGGACGAAGTGTACCGGGCGCAATTTCGACCCCCTAGGAGAATGTTATAGACGAGAACCCTTTTGTGATAAATATCGATCCACGCCACGGTTGCTAAGAGCAAAGGGTGTATTATTATCACGTGACATGCGAATTATTTCAATGCGACGTCCGGAACCTATTCCGGTTGTTTTCCTAACACGTGTTATCGACTGGTTTTGGCCGTCATTTCTTGTTTTACGTTTTTATGATACGACCCAGTGCCAAAAGTTACCAAAACCATTTAGCGTAATATCGTGAATTGTCTTCTGAGGTGTTTCTTCTCGGCAGTCAAATTTGACTTTTTTTTTGGGGGGGGGGGAGGTCGATATGTCGTAAATTAGTCGATAACGCAATATTTTTAGAGTCAGTGTGATTCACCTTTTTAGTAGTTAACAACCCTCGTTGATTTTAGGTCCTGTAAGACAGGAGTTTGAAATTTGGACCGACGATCCCCCCCCCCGACCTACCCAGACTATAATACACCAAAGATACAAGACCTAACCATTAAGATGGCGAAATACCGAAAATCTCACAGACCACCTAGCAACAGGCAGACCAAATGTCATGTTCATCACCTCGCCGACTTACTTTACTTTACACTTCTTACTAGCCTTTCAAGGATCTAGTGCTTTTGTAGGGCCCCAATACATCCTGTAGATTTGTGACATCACCTCCAACATCCCTCGCGTCCGTAGGACTCTTTGTAGCCACTTTGTGTAAGTATTTATGTACTTTACGGGGTGTTTAAACCTCAACATACACGTATTTGCCACCTTCCCCTTTCGAATCCCCTTGGAATTTTATTTGTAGCTAATTTGGGGAAAAAAATATAAAGTGATGTTGACCCTTCGTCCGCGATACCCAACAGGTTGGAGGACTTTTAAGTACTACTGTGCGTCCTGCAAGTCGACTCTCCTTCGCACCGTCCGTAGAAATTGACCTAGTAAACGTCTCGCCTCGCCTTGCTTATAAACCTGGCGTCTGATTGTGTGTTATAAACTAAAACGTGCAACTGACAGAATAATCGACTTGAAATAAATGGAAATGCCAACTTCTTTCCCTGGCGTCTGACTCTCGTCTTTTTTTTTGCTGGGAAATTTTCGAAATGATGGTATATTACAAACTAAGATGGTTTTTATTTGTTATACTGACAGAATATCGTCATGAAATAAATAAAATAATTCAGCTCTTTCTCTCGTTCGCAGAACTTGAACTAGTAAGCTTCTCCCCTGGCCCTGCTCGTCGTCTGACTGTCACCTTTTTCCTTAAATGTAGAAATTTTCGATATAGCGGCATATTACAAAATCATTTGGGAAAGTCCGAATGTAAATTTAACGCTTATTCATCCAACAATGTTTTTTTTTTTAATATTATTTTTATTGTATATTGAAAGGAAAAGAAATGTTTTTCACGGGAAGTTTCCCACCGGTCGGATCGGCCCAAGGGCGTTTGTGGACAGATTTGCTCACAACGCTTCCTGGTCTCGTCGTTCAACCTCGCTACTAGAAAACAGGGAAATTCTAGGCCTATAAATACACCGAGGACGTCGGGCTGTCACCGATAAACCTGAATTACTAGGAAAAGTGGCGATGGTAACGTAAACCTCGGCATACCCGTGATCTAACTTTATTAGGGCGCAGTTGAAGGAAAAAAAAACTCTCCTTGCTCTAATTCCATATTCATTGAGGCGATGTTCAACAATGAATGCGAGTAGAATCCTAGTTCCTTCCTTAAAGTCTAATCCCAAAAAAGGCATGGGATTCGAAACAATCTTGAAAATTAACAAACTTTTACACCGGGAAAGGAAATTTTTAAATTAAATTTCGATGATGCGTCGGAACCATCCTCTCGAAAATTGTAAGGCGGAGCGGAACTGCGCGGACCGCGGAAGCCCCAGCCTCGGGCACACCACACCGCGCTTGTTTACAAACACATCGGCCCTTCTATATTTAGTCGGCCGGTTCCAAGTATTGATCTGTCTGGCCCAGATAAGCCAAGCTTGCCACCCACGCAATCCGAACCAGCCCTTCCCTCACCCGGCTCACTGAAATAGCTTCTCCCGAGGGGTGGGATGCCACCGAGTTCCAGAACAGAACTTAAATGTTACTAAAAACAAATAATATTGTTTACTTCCCGAACTTTTCTCTTGAAAAAAAAAGTCTACTTTATTTACAAAAATACCAATTATGTTTCAAGACGTTAGCTAGTTATATCGAGAAAGAACCGTGATATTGTTCGACCAAGGTTAATATCTGTCAAGTCAATAGTTCCAGGTTGCTACTGCCATTCATTAGATAACAAAACTGCTTTTGTTTGACTTATGAAGTTAAAACGGGTGATATTTGAATAGCCGAACTGGTTCACTACTAGATAAACTTAAAAAAATAGCTAGGGAAGGATCCGGATAGATCAGATAGATGGCAGGACGACTGAGCCGTCAGCAAAAGACTAATGTTGTAAGGAAAAGAGAAATGTCGGCGATGTATATTGTGAACAGGAAGGGCTCTAGGATACTGCCCAGGGGGACACCCGCTTTAATGGGAATAAAAAAGAAAACGCAACCCCCTGAGCCATGTGGTATTACTCTGTCAGATAGGATTTTAATTTTAAAAGGTATGCCTTTGCACTTCAACGGCAAACCAAAGTGCCATACCCTATCGACATCTGAGCAATAATGTTTCTTCTCAAGAGAGGATGATACACAGTCACAACGGATGCACCTGTTGTATAGTGTAGAGAAACGAGCGGAAACGAAACTAGTAGGATGTTAGCAGTTTCAGCTAGAAGGAGAAAAAGAAAAAACTAGTACATTTGACTAAATATTTACATATATACAGATTGCAACCTGAATCTTTTTTCATTTGTGTTAGAAGTGCGAAAGATATTGGTACATTAGCATTACTGTTGCTTTTCTCGGGAGATTTTTTTAGGATCCGGTTGGAGATTCCATTCAGGCTTGGAACTGTTCTGTTTTGTCTTGATTTGATTACTTGCAGTATCTCTGTGGGTGTGATAGCTTACAGTCTGAGGAGGTAACATGCGTTTCACTAACATACTTGGTAACTGTCTCATGTACATGCCTGGATAAGTATTTAGGACCTTGTTGGATCGTCAGTTTATGTACCGATTCGAAATACGCACCCATGGTGTTCACCTTGTCTTTATCTGAGACGCTTGCGATTCCATTGGATATTAGTGGTAATTGTACTGACTCTTTCTTTGACCTTGCACGTTTCACTACTCTCTAGAGAGAGTTATTATTGGGTTTGACGGACTTGAGATAATTGGTCCAACTTTTGTTTCTCCACCCGTCGACTAACTTTTGAACTATGTTTTGCATTTTGTACAACAGCCTTTTCAGTTGATTTGTTCTGTGCCTTTGATACAGATGGCGCACTCTGTTTTTTATAGTAATGATTTTTTTAATTCCTAATGGAAGCTCTCCTATTGGGTGTGTGGGCACTTTTTGTGGTATACTCTGTTTGGCTGCGGATATAAGGGTATTCGTGAAGTTTGATAGTTCGGATTCGAGTGATCTGTGGTTGACACTGTTGGGGGAGGTTGATTTTATTATTGAGTATGTTACGAAATTTTTTCCAGTTGGCTTTATCATAGCAAAATCTGGCTTTCTTAAGATTGGTTTGTATTGGAAGGATAGCTTTAGAAGGACAGGGTTATGGTCGGAGTTTAGAAGCGAAAGACTGTAAGGGGTCGAGTATCTCTGCAGGTTTTTTATTATGAAGAAATTAAGGACACTGGGGATTCTAGGTGAGGGTGGAAAGAAGGTAGGGGCGTCTGGGTAGGACAAAATGACGTTATTTAGTGTGGAGTAATCGTATAGGTTGTTGCCAACTGAATTGTTGTAAGCGCAGTTCCATGCAACGTGCTTGGCGTTGAAATCTCCTAGAAGTATTACTGACGACTGGATGTTCAAAAGCGCCGAAATGTCCGATAGTATTTAGCGTTTTCTAGGGGTCTTGTAACAGTTAATAATAGCTATTTTTTAAATTATTATTTAATGTAATAATCACTCCTACAGATTCTAAGGAGTGGAGCGGTGGAAGTGGTATTGGCTCGTGTTTCCAGTCGGTCTTTATTAGAATTGCGACTCCCCCGCCTTGGGATGTGCGATCGTTTCTGTACATATTATAGTTGGCTACTATTAAACTGTCTGAGGGAGTTAGTTTAGTTTCAACAAGGCCACAAATGTCCACTTGCAGTCTAGCAGACAATGAGTTAATTCAACGATTTTGTTTTTAAAAGAAATACAATTCCAGGGTATTAGGTTCCAAGAAGAAAAGTTGTTAGTATAGTTACAAACTTTAGTTAAAGAGTCAGGTGCACTCTTAAATTGAGAAAGTGGTTTTTTATTACAATTGCTAGTTTTTGAATGTTAAACATGCCCTTCATTTCTTTTAACAGTGTGACAAGGTTGGTTCCTTCGTCTTCGCTTGTTCTTGGTCGTTGGACGATTCGGAGTAGATTGTTGGGCCAGATCGGTGTGTTGGTCTCGGGCTGTATTGTTGATGGGTTAATGGAGGGAAATTGCTCAGGATGCAACTGAAATCTGTGTTGGTTTGCTCTCTGCATGGATCTCTGCTTCGTGGATTTGGCTTGGAGGTATTTAAAGTAAGGGCATTCAGTGTCAGAGGCTCGGTGATTTTCGCCATAGTTGGCGCATTTTGGACAAATGTTCTTGGCCTTGTCGGGACAGTCTTTCGTTTCGTGCCCCTTAGCGCAAATTGGGCATTTTGGATTCTGATGACA